GCCTCCCATTCTACTTTTAAATACTCTGGGAGCCACAAGTAAACCCGTAGTCTGAGAGTGAAGTGTTCTGTTAGGATAGTACGGTACTATGAGGTCTTTTATATATGACACGGTTTGATTATAAGATTTTGTATGTGAGGAGAAGCATTTTAAATTTGATTGTGACTTCCAGAGGGAGGAAGAGAAGCCAGTGTGGGGAAAATATGCTCTCTCTTTGTTGTTCCTGTTAACGCATTCGCTGCAGCTTTCTGGATCAGCTGAAGGGTTCGTTTTTAAACATTTAGTCAGTGCAAAATGTTTGTAAGCCAAGGGATAAATATCAGCCTTATGGCCATGTCAACAAATGGGGTCGATATTTGCTAAAAATATAAACGTCTCTGTTTCTTTGCTCAGCTCTTGATCCACTTTCTCTGCTTTTGGTGTAATGGAAAGTGTTTTATTTGCTGCTCCAGCTGGGTTCGTGGTGTGGAGCCGGACCGTGGAGGCCTTCGTCAAGCAGCTGTGTCTGCAGGAGCAGTACCTGAAAGCGGCGTCCCACCTGCTGTCCATTAACAAACTCTACGAGGCAGTCGGCCTGCTGCGCTCTCACAAGCTTTACAGGTTTGTTTTATTTACTGTTGCTTTGTTTTGTTCCTCTAAATAAAAAAGTTCTGTTCCAGGTTTGTTTGCTGCAAAAATACAGCAAAAGTAAAAGTTTTCCGGCCATATTCTGGTGATGTTTCGTTCATCTGTTATTATCAGGGAGGCCATAGCGCTGGTTAAAGCCCGGCTGCCAGCAGACGAACCTCTCCTGAAGGAGCTGTACACGTGTTGGGCTGCAGTGCTGGAGAAAGACGGGCATTTTTCTGCAGCGGCTAAGTGGTGAGAAGTGGAAAGTTTAAAGTTGCTCTTAATGATTATTTGAATGGCTTTGCAAACATTGTTAAATGGGTCCTCTCTCATTCGTTTGACGTCATCTCCCAGCTACCTCGCTGCCGATGCCAGCTTTGATGCAGCCAAGGTCATCGCCAGGAAGAATGACGTCTTGTCGCTGAGGACCGCGGCCAGTCTAGCAAGAATCTCAGGAGAGGCCTCTCTGGCTCAGTCTCTGTCGCTGAGATGTGCCAAAGACCTGGCAGCCGCTCGAGACTGGGTCGGAGCACAGGAGGTCCTGAGTTTGCAAGACAGCCTCCTGGTTAGTAGTCGGAGTGTGAATTTGGGTTTAGAAGATGAACTGAAAGTCTGTGAAGTCTGTGAAACCTGTTCCAACCCTCTGCAGGT